AAAAAAAAAAAAAAAAGAAACTATAATATGTGGTATAGGCATATTGAATGCTTAAAAGCCACTGCACATTAGCTGTGGTCATTACCATGCTCATATTTTGAGAAGAGATTTATTTCTCAGAAAACATCATCCTTCATATGAAATTAATATTGTGAATCTGAATTTTATTGGCTACATGATATGTTTTTATTTTATTTGTAAATAGGTTTCAGTTTTATAGGTGTATGAGAGCTGCATGTTTATTTTTAGCATTATGATTATGCATATATAACTAGCCTTTAAAATAAAAGTAAGCAAATACCTGGAAAAAAAAAAGAAAGCATACAAATGCAATGTGATGAACATTATGCATTGATAAGGCATACAGCAATGAGCTCAGCCTTGGAAAAGTTGGCATAGCCATTTTGCTAAAATGAAAAAGCTAAAATTATCTTCATTCTCTCTTGTGTTTCATGATTCTCAAAGTTTAGTATTTTAATTGTCTACAAATCAAGTTCTGTGAAATTACAAAAGTTTTTATAGGAAGTAGGACATGTGCTTCTTCCAAGGGGCTAGCAGCAATGTTTGTAGGCAGCCATGTCACAGGTGAGAATGGACATCAGGTTGCATTATTAGAGGATATCAAGGAAAAACTGAAGAGGAAGAAAAACAACTATAGTTGTATTCATGTCTTATTTTCCAGAAACCTTAAAATTTACTATCTGGATGAAGGGCACAATTACATGTGTAACTTTGACAAAGTATGTAAACAAAAACACGTGTGCCCCCTAACATTCTGAAGTAAAAAATAAATTTAAAAAAGGAGAAAACAAAAAGAAACTATAATATGGTACCTCTGCCTTTGGAAAATCATTTGACATTCTCAAAACTGCATGACCCAGTTAATGTCACTGTTATGCATGCACTCAAGAACAAAGAAAGCACATCTGCACAAAAAAAGTAAAAAAAGAATTTTTTTTTTTTTGAGACAGAACCTCAAGCTGTTGCCCTGGGTAGAGTGCTGTGACATCACAGCTCACAGCAACCCCCAACTCCTGTGCTTAAGCTATTCTCTTGCCTCAGCGTCCCAAGTAGCTGGGACTACAGGCACCCACCAGAACGCCTGGCTATTTTTTTGGTTGTAGTTGTCATTGTTTGGCAGACCTGGGCTGGATTCGAACCCGCCAGCTCTGGTGTATTTGGCTGGCACCTTAGCTGCTTGAGCTACAGGCGCCAGGCCAGAAAAGAATATTCATTAGAGCATTATCTGCAATCACCCCAACTGAAACAACCCAATGTCAATCAACAGAAAAATGGACAATCAAATTTTGGCATATTCGTGCTACTATTTCTCAACAATAAATAAAAACTAACTAGTGATACACATAAAAACATGAATCAATATTATAGACTATATTGAGCAAAAGATAAGGAAGACATAAGAAAATGCATGCTGTATTATTCCACTTATATGACATTTGAAAGCATAAAACTCATCAATGGGGATAAAAATGAGGGCAGTAGTTGTCTTAGAAGAAAGAGTTGACTGCTAAACAGCGAAAGAAAATGTTTTGAGATGATAAAAATGTTCTATGTCTTATTTTTTGTAGAGACACATTTTCACTATGTTGCCTAGACTATTCTTGAACTCTGGACCTCGACTGATTATCCTGACTCAGCCTCCCAAGCTGGGCTTATGGTCACAAAACACTGTGCCTGGTTTGAAAATGTGCTATGTCTTGATCGGAGTTTGGCTTTACAGATATTTACATCAAAAAACAATTTTAAGGGGCGGCACCTATGGCTCAAGGAGTAGGATCCTGGCCCCATATGCTGGAGGTGATAGGTTCAAACCTAGCCCTGGCCAAAAAAAAACTTCAAAAAAAAGAATTCTAAAAAGTTAAAACAAATTAAAGAAGTCAGAGAGAATATTCAATGAAGAGCGGAGTGAGTGGGAGAAAGTTTTGTGAATTGAGTGTCAATATAAAGTTGTTTTTTTTTTTTTTAAGTTTTCAAAGGTTTGTTGGGTATGGGAGAATGGGAGAATAAGAAAATAAAAGACAAAATAAGTATTGCTATGGAACTGGATCCTATGTAATGTTATCTCAGTGACCTAAATAAAGATGGGGGCTTCTTTTCAGTTACTTTTGGTTTCTTGGCCCAGAGTGGGGCATTGTAAAAGTAGGTTATATGGCTCCAGGATTTATTTGGAGGACCGTTGACTTACACATCCCAAGGCATAATATGTGCATTATGTATAGATAACTTTCTTACTGAGTTCTGCCAAGGGAAGGCAATAACCTTGTGGGTGTATCCTTTATAGGGGTGAAGTTATTCTTAGTGTCAGTCCCAGAGTTTTAGAAAAGAAAATATAATGGCAGGCCCTGGTTAGAGAGAATGAAGCCTTCTGCTCTCTTGATCATGATTGGAGCTTTACTAATCCGTGGTCCTTCGCTCCTGATGAGCAGCTGATTTCTATGCAAAGGGCCTGGGAATCTATACCTATACCATAAATTGTCCATAAAAGGTTCATGGTAATTTCCCTCAGGTAGGAGATAACAGAGGCCAGATGTAGCAAGACCACAGAGGGAGATGTACATTACTGCCAATGTTCTGATCTCTCTGAGTGGTGTGTCCATGGGTATGTCTATTATTACATATGTATATTATTATGTTACTCCAAGCAAACAGTGAAAGAGGACCACTTGTAGAAGCCAATGAAGAATGCATTTTTTGAACCAAGAATTAGAATGAATCTAATTCTGTGCCACCAAAAGCCAAAGAAAGAGAGATAGATACCAGACATATAAAGTGACATTTGATATCTCAG